GGCTACACTGGGGACCGCCATATAATGTACTAATAGATGTTAGCTGCACAGTGCTTGGTGCCTATGTGTATGACTGGCCATAGATTACTGGGCTGTTTTCTGTAGTACTAGACAAGGAACTCCTCAAGCAGTCAAAGGCACTTATCCAGCAGCCTACCAGCAAGCAGGTCCTGATACTTTCTCTGGTATATTACATTATGTACCTTTTTGATAAGCGGCACCACCTGTCATGTGACTTGCAGTATATTTTTTTCTGCAATACAAATCCTCACGATTGCGGGAATGTATACAGCACTATTCAGTTTCAGTGGGTGGCTGGGGGCCGGTAAAACCTCAGATCAATTTGTGAAGACGATATACAAATTCAAGCTGAAAAATTCTTGTATATTTAAAAACCGAGGGGGGAATTCAGGAAAACTGGGGCACACAGTTTTCTTATAGCAACCAATCAGCGCTTCTCTTCACTTTTGTTCAGTTAAGCTCTGAAAATGAGAGATAGAAGCTGATTGGTTGCCATGGACAACTGCTCCAGATTCAGTCTGCTCCCATTTTCACGAATTCCCCACATTATGTTTTTTTTATAGTCATTCCCTTTTTTCTCAATAGAAAGACAGCAATCTTTTCAGTGCACCGTAAAGTTTCAGAGAAGTGGTAACAGATTCTTGGGTGAGAACATTTTACAGAGAGAGTTTATAATTTGAGAGATTTACCTGTGTACGAGAAGTCTAATAGTGAATTAGAAATTATCTGATTGCTGAATAAAAAAGGAGATGGGAGAATGATGGAGAGAGGAGGTTGGAGCTTTTATATGGAAGAATCCTGCTGATTTCCACAAATAGCACATGCTTTACGTGCCTGCTCTCCAGCCTGCTGACTTCAAACCTCATGTTTATTTTTATTGCCTCTATAAAAGCTCATGTGGGTTTTTCTGCATGATTCTCATTACATTTATATAACATAGTGAACATTGTTTTGATGGATCTCTAAATTCTGGGAAGAGTTTACAAACTGGTGCACAAGGTAGACATTAGTATGTTCAAACCCGGTCACTAAAATGTAAACTTTAATACCTACATTTTCATGATTTTTTTAATGTATAGCTTTTATTAAAATATCTGGTGGTCTTGCCATGAAGGTCTTTAAAGTACAACTAAAAACTGCTGTATGACCATCTAAAGAAGTACCAAATGTGATGCACAAGCCTCCTAAAGTAAACAAAAAACTTTTACATTACCTGATTGAGCCAAATCCTCTTTCATTTGTGTCTCATACATTCCCCTCCAGACACTGCAGCTCACATTAGGAGGGTCTCGGCAACAGTGGCAGTGCTGTCAATCCAGAGAGCAGTGGGTGGGATGAGGTGTGGCCAAGCGCTGATCGACAAGCTACAAGCTACAGGCTTGTGAATCAATAACAATGCCGATACCTAGGCCCACCGGAAATAACTTTTCATCCCTCTGCAGTGCAAGCAGGAACAGCCTACATGAGAGTGGCAGCTCTGCCCTTAATTCAGGAGCAGTGCCGCATCAGTACCAAACCATCATAGGAAGCTGCATTAGGGGGACTTCATTGAAAGGATCAACAGGTATTTCTGGGACTTTCACACCATATGCAGCACTGGATTGCATAAACCAAGCCTTCCGCATTCTGAGGCAGGAGGGGGCGTGGTGGTGCCATTCATGTCAATGGCACTGCAGACATGCCTTCCGCCCAGTGTAATTGTCCGCTCCAGACTACATGGTACAGCAGTGCCCAGCATTCCGGTATGGTGTGGTGCTGTACCACACGTTCTGGTGCGGGCGATCGCACTGCGTGTGGGAGGCATGTCTACAGGGCCATTGACCTGAATGGCACCACAATGCTCACTCCCACCCAGAATGCTTGGTTTATGCGATCCAATGTGTTCTGGACACAATCCGTGCCGGAATGCACTGGATATGGTGTAAACTGGCCCCAAGTGCAGATGCACATATTAATACATGCTCTGCTGCATATTTATGTTATGGGAAGCTGTTCTATAACAACCTCCTAAATTTATTGATTTTTTTATTTTTTATTTTGAGGTACGGTTAAGCACCTTCTGTTGTAGGCTGACAAAACTTTGTTACTATTAGGTTTATTTATTATTTATGTAGCACTGATAATCTACACAGCACTTTACATACTGCACATTCACATCAGTCCTTGCCCTCAAGGAGCTTACAACCTAAGGTCCCTATTGCATACAGGTCCGATTTTTTTTTTTTTAGACGTTGCAGCATGTCTTTGGAGTGTGGGAGGTCCAATACCCAATTCACATGCTTAGTCCACTATTGTCACCATTAAGAAATCTCTCCCAGAGAAATGGCATGCAGCCATTGCTTGAGCACATGCATGTAGATTTGAAAGTGGCTGCAGGAGAATAGCCGTAATAAATAAAAAAAATGGCAGCTGTGAATGATCTAAATTGCTTTAGCAAATGTGATTTAGTTAGGATGTATGACTACTTTTATGGGACTGAACTGCCACTGGCTAAAAGTCTTTTTTGATGTAACTATCAATGCAGTGTTTTGGGTTTAGGTGCATTATTTCAAATGGTGCATTTAAAAATAATTTGAAAACTCCCTTTACGCATATAAAAATGTGCATTTTAGCATGTGGCTTTATTAATAATAATAATTTTAATAATTGTTATACAAAATGTATACAGCACCAACTGTTTGTGCAGTGCTTTAAAATATTAAAGGAGAACTATGGGGTTAAGGCTTCTCCCCATAGTTCTTCTTAGGGTAACGGGAGGACACAAACTAGCGTCCTCCCGTCACCCAAAGCTCAGTAAACCGCTGTAGCTCGCGGTATACTGAGACGCCGCAGTATACCGCGAGCTAATGCTTGTGGTATACTGAGACGCCGCAGCTGAAGCGGATCCCGACAATTGTTCCGGGATCCGCCCAGCTGCGTGACAGCTGGCTCTGCCTATCTAGAGGCAGAGCCAGCTGTACCCGCCCCTCCCCCGTCCGTTCCACC